TGCAGTGCGCTCTGGCCGTCGCGTTCCTCCTCCCGCCTGGCCCGCGCGAGCAGCTCCCGCACCTGCTCCGTCTTCGCCGCCACGTCCGCCCGGTCCACCGAGACCTGGTTCAGCACCGTGTTCAGCTGGCCCTCGTAGAACCTATCGAGCGCACGTTAGACGTGTCGTGCGTGTAGTGCGTGCCGTGCGTGTCGTGATGTAGAGCTCAAGTACGTGCGGCGGTCCCGAAGGTGAGCGGTGGCGTCGGTGTCGGTGGCGAAGGTGGCTTTGAGGCGCGCGAGCCGGCGGACGGCGTGGGCTTGCACCTGGCGCGGGATCACCTTGCTGGTGCCCTCCAGGTAGAGCTGGCGCCAGCTGTCGCCGTAGAACGGCAGCAGCGCCGCGCTCTCGGCCCAGCCGCGCGTGCAGAGCTCCTGAGAGGTGAAACCCCCCCACGGCGTCGTGGCGTGGCTTCAGCCTCGTGTGTAGCGCCAGCAGACACGCAAAGCAAAGATGGAAGAGAGATGGAAGAGAGATGGAAGGGTACCTTGAAGAAGAGTTCATCGAGGCACTGGCAGCGGAACCCTGGGCTCACGTGGGAGGCAGCAAGCAGGTCTCCCGGCGAACCCAGGAAGGACAGCACGTGTTGAAACACTTCACTTTGCACGAAGCACCAGAAAAGTTAACTTCGCAGCACCACATATCTTTCTATTCTGGTGGTGTCCTACCTGGGCAAGCCTTCCATGGAGAACTTGAAGTCTCGTGCCGGGCGGCTGTTGCAATAGAGGGAGTTAAAGCGGGTTTTTCGTGGTTTTTTTGTGGTTAAGTGCAGTTGAACACGGTTGCACTTTATGAAGCAAATTGCGTGTGTTGGTTGGCATGAGTTGAAACGAGGCGACCACAGTTGAACCGCCTTCTGTCGCCGCAGTGCTTTCGAACTCTGAAAAAAACTAGTCAAAACCGGTTAAACCCAATTATTTTGAGTTCAAACAGTTTATTCGTCCCACATGTGCGAGATGCGTTGGTATTTGTTGACAAGGACGGAGATGATGGTCCACACCTTGTGGTGGAAGGCGTAGAGCTCGTCACGCCTCGAGGTGGGCAACCGCAGGGTTTCTCGTGCGGCAGCCCAGTTCTTCACTCGACCGATGGATTGCTCCACCACGATCCGCACGCGAGAGAACTCACGGTACGCCGCCCGTGTCTCCTCGATGTAGGGAGGAGGTGTGAGGAGGCGATCATCAACACCTGGCAAACAAGGAGGAGAAGTTAACCAAGTCTCCTACCGCCCACCGCCCGCCGCCCGCTGCCTGCCGCCTGCCGCCTGCCGCCTGCCGCCCACTGCCCACCGCCCGCCGCCCACTGCCCACTGGCAAGGCAAACAATAAACATGAAGATCGTACCATTAAAGCTGGCATCAGCAATGCCGTGCTCATCACAGTCAAACTGTGAGAGCCAGGTGTTGAGCTCAGCATGGGCCAGTGCGAGATTGGTAGTGGATCCTCCCTGAGACCGGCCAAGCCAGAGAATTGTCCCATCAAGGGTGACGAGGACGAGTAGCGTGACAGAGTGTTGCCCCTTTTTCGCTGAGTACAGCTTGCTGTCAGCCACTGCGTGGTTGGAGCTGTGAGCTGGCTGCTCTGCTCCATCAAGGGCGAAGGTCACAAGGGTTCTCAGCATGCGCTGGGAGTGAGCAAGCTGAAAGCCCTGATTGCGAAAACTAAGATAGGGTGAATAGTGATTGAAAAGAAAGCTAAGCATTGTGTGTGTGATGTGCTGTGCTGTTGTGAGGTGGATTTCGAAGATAGTGGCGAGGAAGTGGAAGACAGGGTAGTGGCGAAGGAAGATAAGAATTAAATAAATGCGAGAGAGAGGGGAGAGTGTGCGGTTGTGGGCGAGTTGTTTCTTGGCTGAGTAGAGGCCAACAAGTTCATCCACCTCCTCTTGTGGGACTCCCAGCAGTTGTTCATGCATCTTCTGTGGTAGGGAATTGATGTAGGTGGTGTATCAGGCTGGCCCATGATTAATAAAACAAAGAGGAGAAAGACACAAGAGCTCTTACCTTCACCTTCAGCGTTGTGGTCGTCATCATTGTCACCCTTGGTCTCACCATCAGCCTTGGCCTCTGGAGTAGTGTTGTCCATGTTGCTCCCCTTCTTTGTTGCCTTCTTTGCCTTTGGAGCTGTCTTCCCCTTCACCCCCACTTTTTTCCCTACTGCTTTCTGCCCCACCACCTTCTTCCCTGCCGCCTTCTTCTCTGCCACTGCTGCCTTCTTCTCTGCTGCAGTGGTCCTCTGCTTCTTTGCCAGCAGCTCCTGCCCTGGCTTGCGCCCTTGCTTATTGAATTTGGAGAAGAGGTAGCGCACCAGGTGGGAGCCCTTGCAGAAGTAGAGGATGCAGTTGCTGTTGCTGTGGTGGTGGATCCACAGATGCTGACTCATGAGGTTGGTGCAGCAGGTGAGCAGTGCATTGCTGTCCCTCAGGTTGAGGACACTGTGGCACATGGGCGTAGCCTCCAGCTCCTCCTCCTCCTCAGGCTGCAATCCCTCAACCAGCTCATCCACCATCCAATCTCCATTCTTCTTCAGGTTGTCAAGCTCATGGTCAATGAGTTCTTCAAATTTCTTCACATTGATGCTGCTGATGAGATGTGCCTTGCAGCACAGCATGAATGAATGAAACTTGCCAATCTGCACATGGGGGTAGGGGAGATTGGTCCCAGACTGTGTTTGGTTGCAGATGACACAGAGCTTGCCCTGCATCTGTCAAAAGGAGAGCTTCTCCTCATCAACCACAGGAGCTGGAGCCAGAGCCAGAGCTGGAGCTGGAGCTGGTGATGGAGCCTGAGCAGGTGATGGGGTGGCCAACCTTGCAGGTAGCATTGGGGACAGGTAGGGGGATGGTGATTGACTTGGAGCTGCTCCCATGGCCATCATTTGAAAGACCATCTCACCATCTGCATTCAATTAATCAAAATCAATTTGGGGGAACATGGGTAGAGGGGGGTGGGAAGCTATGTACCTGGCCCAACGAGGGGGCTGCCAGGGTGGATCTGCTGCCCTCCACACATCCAGCATGTGCAAAAGGGTTCAACCATTAAGGTTGTGTGGCTCCATTCACAATAGCAGCAGGCAATGTGTGAGGCTGCATTGACAAGGGGAACAGCAGTTGAGCAGGTGAAGCACTCAAATGTGGAGTAGTGAGAGGAGTAGGGGCGGGGGCTGGAGTAGTCAGAGTAGTAGGTTGAAGAGGTAGGTGTGGAGGTTGATGAGGAGGGAGCTGAGCCCTGGGGAGGCTCCATGGGCGGGGGGAGTCAATGGGGACAAAGGTCAAGAACTGTTTTTTTCAGAAAAAAACTGTGAAGAACCCCAAAAAACCTGTTGCCTCCATCTCAACCCCGTCCAACCTTTGTTTACAGTTGGGAACTTGCTCTAGTGCAACAGCTCCCGGGCAAGACGAATATTAAAATGCAGCTGAACTGGCGGATGACGACGATTGAAAAGGAGTTGCTATTTTTTCAGGGCCTTGTTTGGGGAAGCTCACGAAAGACAGGACGCCCGACAATGGCAACCTCCCAGCGACAACGAAGGGCTCTTTGGCGTAGTGGTAGCGCGTCGCTCTCGTAAAGCGAAGGTCGAGGGTTCGATCCCCTCAAGAGCCTTTCCGTTTTGTTTTTCGTGGTCCTGTATTTCCTTCATGATACAGCAACCCACTGCCGGTGTTGAACAAGATTATGTCAAACTCACACATGTCCTTCACACTGACCAGGCCCACCACATCACCAATCAGGGTGTCAATGTCACCCCCACCCAGTGTGAGAAATCACCTGCACATTACCACCATCATCATGGTCATCAGTAACAACCACCACCACCACACTTGAAACTAGCCAAATCCAGAGTGAAGGGAATCCCAACCAACTTTTAGGGTTTTCCCTGCAACACTATGGGGTCCCTGTGAGTTTCTGGGCACCAACTCAAGCTTTGGAAAACAGCTTCAACATTTCAGGTCTTCAGGACTGTTGCTGTTGGTGCTGGTCCAAATCCATTTTATTGTTGTTGTTCAACAGGAAGGACCTTCTTGCAAACAATCCTTGTCATGCCCACCCGCACCAGAGCCCAGCAATGGACATTGGCCTCCCCAACCTCGGCCTGCAGGGCGGGCACATATTTACCTCGAGCCTCTTGGATCGCCTCCTCCAACACAGTCCGCACCGTGGACCCAGGCTTCCTGAAGTTGTCCCCCTTGGCAAGGGGCAGGTCAAGGACAGCCTCGTCATCGCCGCCCATGTTGTCGATAGTACGGGAGATCTCGACCTGCTTCTCCCAGCTCTGCACACCTTGGCCAAGCACCAGCCCTTGCACCTTCACGTTCTTGAGCGTGAAACAGTAGTGCTGTGTGGGCGCGAAGAGAGAGAGAGAACAGTCAATCTCGTGGAAATGAGAGAGACAGAGTCCATGTGTTCCATGCGAATACCTGCGGTTTCTGGGGGGCGACCGCCTGCTGGCCGATGTAGACGACATCCAGTGCGGGACCCGACGTGTTGGAGTGCCTGGCCACCGGGTCGACTTTATACTCCTTCCTCACGCAGTCGCCAGGGCGGCGAGCAAGCAACATCGCATCGTAGACAGCTGCCCCCCCCCACACCCCGCGGTGTGTTAGTCGTTTGTATCAACCCCTCCTCCCCACCCACCAAGGTGGTCTCGCAACGAGTACCTTGTGCGAAGGGGTCCTCCCCACCGAGCGCATCGCGTCCGTCGAGTCCGCGCAGCAGGAATCGGGAGACGGCTCGACAAAACGGCTCGACCTGCCTCCCGTCCACCATTTTCACGATCGCCCCGCGCAGCTGCTGCACTCCGATTTCATCGATGTCCAGCAGCCTCTGCAGCTCGACCGTAAACTCCTTGCGGGCCACGTTGTTCGGGATGCGCAGGGAGTGCTTGAGCTTGGGCGGAGATCGAGCGTAGGTCAACGCCCCGGTGTAGAACATGAACGAGAGCAACGGCGTGCGACCCGTATTGAGCTCGTGCATGTGCGACAGGCGGAACTGGTTCGCAACCCCGCCTGCGCACTCGAGCTCAGCGTCATCTGAGGACAGGGCTTCTGCGACCACCAGCGAAGCATACGGACTGGACTTGATGGCCTCCAGGGTCGCTTCGGCCGGCATCGAGTTGGGGTCGCTTTGAATTTCGTTGAGCAGGAAGTCGGCCGCCTCTTCAGGCCGAAGCGTCGACAGCGGCGGATCGAAACTGAGAACCTGTTCCAGCTGACGAAGCCCGTGGAGCACGCGTGTCGGATTGTAGAGCGCCACCTCCTGCCGCGGGTGGAAATGGTAGCCGTTGTGGTCGCGTCTCCACGAGTCCACGATCCTGTCGACGACCTCTGGCTGCAGTCGGTGCAGCCTCGCGAGTCCGTTCCGAACGTCGGCCTCGGTGAAGCCGTAGAGCGACGCGAATCGCCGGTCGCGGGTGATGTGCTCGGCGATGTTGAACCCGCTCGTGAACTCGTTCAGGGCCAGCGGCGTTACCCCCGTCACGAAGCACCGCGCCACGTTCCTGTCGCAGGCCGTCTTGATCCTGCTGAAGAACTCGGCGTACGTGTTCTCCATGCTCTTGAGGAGGCCCTTTTCGCTCACCTGAAGCGCCGAAACCAGGGGCAGGTCGCCCAGGGCCTTGTTGATGCTCACGTCGTACTCGTCGATGAGTACGTAGAGCTTGGTGGGTGGTGGTGTTCAATAACAAAAAGATGAGTACGCCATACAATTCTGCTAGCTGGCCGGCTGGTTACCTTTTCGTTTTTTCTCTTGAGCTCATCTACCAGGCCCTGAAAGGTGATGGCTGCGTCCCGATCATTCAGCTCAAACGAAAGGTTGTAGCGCTCCTTGAAGTCGGCGGCAGCCTGGTTCAGCGCGGCGTTGAGGCTCCTCCTGAAATCGTCGAAGTTGTGGGATTTGATGCCGGCGAAGGTGAGGGGAAGGACGTGGAAGGTGTTGGCGAGCTGGGTCGGCGCCTTCCCAATCTCCAGGTGGCCGAAGAGCTCCTTGAACCGGCCCTTGTGCGCCACGTCGTAGTAGTGCGCCAGCGTGTCTATCCAGAGCGTTTTCCCCATCCGCCGATTCCTCAGCGACACCACGGCCTTGGCCTTGAGCGCTTCCAAGAGGGGGATGAAGCCCGTTCTATCGACCCAAAACATTCCATTCTCTTGCGAGAAGACGCTTGGAAAGCTCCCATCACCGTAGGCAAACTGGGATTCTGGCGGCGTTGGGGGGGTCGTCGCTGGACGAAAATCATCGAATCATCAGCAGGAGGGATTTGTTGGGGGGGGGCAAAGCGAAATGACCCATGTACCGTAAGATTGTTGTCCGCCCGCAAAGGAAGCCTTCGCCGCCGACGTGTGACGCCAACTGAGAAAAAGGTCACGTGCAACCGCGGCAGGCAGCTGGGAACGCTTCGTGTGTCGTAACATGGTTGTCGAGAGCAAAGTTTGAATCTACAAACCTAGGCTGCTGAGCTCTTATTCACTGTTTCACTTTTATATTTGTCACCACGCACGACACGCACGTGCCGCATTAGTGAACTCGGCCCCAGCAGGAGGCCCACGGCCAGACCGGCGAACGCGTATGCCGTAGCCGCGTGGTGCGCCACCACCGCCCTCCCGCCGCCGATCACGCGGTTCGGCGACGACTCGCCGCTGGCCGAGCTGCCCGGCTAGCTGCTCGAGGCCATCGTGGCCGGCGTCGACGCGCACGACGTGCTCGATGCCGATGAGCGCAAGCGCGTGGTGGCGTTCGCGCTCGACCCGCAGGGCACGCTGGGCAAGTCGCGCGAGCAGTTCCTGCGTGCGTGCCTCCGGTCGCTCACCTGCCCGGTCCACCGAGATCTGGTTCAGCACTGTGTTCAGCTGGCCCTCGTAGAACCTATCGAGCGTTAGACCCACCCACCTGGTCTCCGCCCGAAGAGCTTTGCTTGCTTCTCTTGCTACGGCTTCATTGTTACTCTGCGCCCAGACGAAATCGAAGGCCAAGGGAAAGCAACATCCCCTATTCCAGGCTGCTCAAACCAATTGGCTGAAAACACTCATTAGGCGATCGTGGGACAATTACCGCCGCCGGGCGTGTCGCATGGTGGGGCCGCATGAAAGTCAAAAGGGTAATACTTCCACGCCATCCGTTGCACACTCAACAAGGCGTGCACTTCGTCGCTGTTCTTCTTCGCCAGCGCATTCGGAATCTATGTATGCGCGAACCACAAGACACATGATACGCACACGTTTTTAAAGACGTGAAAATGTTTGTAGAATGTTGTTGCCATGAATACGGCGTGGACGGGCTGGCGTACATTTTCCTCGTGTTCGTAGTTGTAGTGGAACACGACGTACTCCTCCGTGCGTCGGTCGTAACCCTTGGCCTCTCGCCGCGACCCGTACCACACACAGGTCTTCTCCGAACCTGGTAGCGCCGCCATACACAACAATGAGAAGGCAACGAAGGGCG